CTGGCCAAACGTAGAAGAAACCATCAACTGGTTGCATTCTGCAAGGGAGGGAAACAGGGAGAGAGGAAGGGACAGAGAGAGGGAGGGAGGGAGAGAGAGAGAGAGAGAGAGAGAGAGAGAGAGAAAGAGAGAGAGAGATAGATAGAGAGAGAGAGAGAGAGAGAGAGAGAGAGAGAGAGAGAGAGAAAGAGAGAGCAGAGCAGGATAAGACAGCTGCAGCAAAACAGACATACAATCGAGCTGCGCAAAGCAGGTCAAATCCAGCATTTCTTATGTACGTGTTATTGACCGAGTACTCCGGTTATACCGGCAGAAATCGATATCGTATTGGCCATATAGAGCACATTTATTCCATGCTAACGCTAATGGGATTTCGGTCTTTGACCACTTGGTGGTGGGTCTGATCTACTCACCTCCCACCGTTTAGGTGCTGCATCTGCGCCTTTGATCCTAGACGGTGGTGCCGTTCCCATGACGGATGCGGAAAACTGGGCTTCCAGCCGAGTCTCACGCGAACCGTGAAATTTATTATTATTATTTTTTTTTAACGCTGTTAGACCTCTTGACCTTCCAAGTGGGCACTTACTTCAGCGCATGGAGAAACACTGCACGCTGAGAAGCGTCGCTGATTGGCCGTAACCCTAGTAACAGACACCTTACATGTAATATAAATCCAGGTTAGGTTTTATTCAGGGTACTGTAAGTCTACAAATTTTCAGCCCATTCAAATTTAAGCCTCCCAGGGGTAAAACCCACTTCGGCCGAAATCGAATTTTCGGCCTGTACTGCTGCCGCCTGTATACACTGTCACACTAAACCTTGTAAAACAAAATTTCGGCCTCAACAAATCTTCGGCCAAACATGATCAGGCCGAAAATGTTAACACTGAACTGTACCACTGTATCTTACCTAACTCCGTCAGATCTGCGCCAGTAGCATGCACTAGGCAGCCAACGCACACAGATGAGCCATCCGAGTCGCTGGGGCCCACTGTTGACGAGCGATCAAGCGGTACATACGCCAGCGAGCCACGTTCCTTGTCCATGTTGTTGCGGTGGTGTCGCTGTGTTTTGTATTCCTCATTCAAGTGCTCCTCAAGAAGATACTTGGGTATGTAGCTGTCCGGGTTATCATTCTCAAAGTTGCGTATCTGATTCGTCGTCAGGACAAGAATGAAGCAGCGCATTCGCATGCATGCATGCAAGCACACACACACGCACGTGCACGCACAAACACACATGCACAGACATACCCATACGAACACACAAAATACACACACACACTTAAGTAGCCACGCTTGAACAGTCGTGATAGGCTCACAAGAATTTGCAACTCTGGATACCTTTCCTATGGGGTTCACCGACGGCGAGAACTCCCACACACTTAAGTAGCCACGCTTGAACAGCCGTGATAGGCTCACAAGAATGTGCAACTCTGGATACCTTTTCTATGGGGTTCACCGACGGCGAGAACTCCCATCACATGGTGTAATGGTCCCATTATACGTTCCCAGCCAGTTTTAGCGACCAGTGGAGTTTAAAAAATAACACTCCTGACAGTATCCTAATTAGCTTATGCGAGTCATCAGGCAGGATCATGGCAGATATTCGGACTGCGCGCACGCTAGCCTTCGCTGTACGTAGTACAAATCGTACTTTCAACACGCGACGCGAGTTTTCACCGTCAGAGACCCTGCATGCAGAGTTGCACGCACTTGAGAGCTTATTTACTCCGACTCAGACTAATGGTTGACTCGTATGGTGGTAGATACACACCTGCCCACACACGCTCTCTGAGCTGCACAGTTACTCTGACACTCTGAGCTCTATTTCTCACCACCACCACCACCACAATCAGTTGAGTACACTGCAGCCACCACTCGTGGACAAGTTTCTGCTGCTCTTGTTCTTCTCCGTGCTAACACCCGATTTGGTTTCAGTGCAACTTCTTACTTAGGTGCTGATAGGTGGAATGCACTGCCACCGGCTTGCCATACGCCTAAGTCACCAGCTGAATTTCGCGCATCTATCAAAATGTTCCTAGGGTTCCCTGTAAAAAGCCGCCTGTTGGGAATTCCCTAGTAAAACAAGAATAACAAATAATAATAGTAATAAGTCCGCACATGCCGACTAGTCAATGCATGGTTAGCGGTATCCGACATAGCAGGCTGGTACATCAGGTAGCGCATGGCGCAAAGCAGATGACACAGCAACGCCATACCGGTGTCTCGTACACGTAGTAAAGCCTGTCTCATACAGAAGGCTGTTCTGAATAGAAGCCTGATTTTCAAGATACACTATCATCACATAAGCATGGTTGTAGGGTTGACATACATAGAAATACCTGGTTTGAATAGAAGCCTGATTTGAATATAAGGGCGCGTTCGAATTGTCACTCTTTGACTTTTTGAGGAGCTTCGTTTTTCTGAAGAGGTGGCCTTATTGGCCTCTTCAGAAAAACGAAGCTCCTCGAAACCCATCCGATGGGAAGGTGGATTAGTTTCGAAGAGTTTGGAATAGCTACGTCACGTAGTACGTGGAGATGGTCGATCTGATCGGACGTCATCATCGCCATGACAATTCCACTGAAAAACTCTAAAATGATAGAAACCGTTCTAATGGGACACTTCAACTAATCTCTTTATAAAATTTGTTAGAACAGTTGATGAAGACAATTCGAACGCGCCCTAAGCCTAGCCCTGACATCGGCTTCTACAGAAATAAGCCCGGCTCTAATACGCGACAATACGGGGGTAGCTTGATTGCGACATATGTTTCGTTTCTTTTCGGCTCAGATTAGTGAGAAAAGGACTCACCTGATATTCGGACAGAGTCACGACAGATGGCACACCAATCTCATTCGTATCACATGTCTGCCAATCCGGTGCAAATCGACAAAACCCTGAGATGCACAGAAGAAAGAAAAAAGGAAAGCAGGGAGATAACGCCAAAACGCTGACAAACTTGACTGTGCATGCATGCGTGCGCGCACACAACCACGCACACACACACACACACACACACACACACACACACACACACACACACACATACACATGCAGAGCCAGGTCATGCTGCACAGCTGCTGTGCACAGTGACAGCTGCATACATACCTTCATTGGGAGGACACAACGGAATTGGACAATGTTTAGGCTGGTATCGTCCTGAACAAGAAAGTTAACAGAAGAAAGAAAAACAAGCACACAATCAAGCATACAGTACGTAAAACCTGTCAAGGCGACCACTCGGATAAGACGACCACCAGTCCAAGACGACCCCTGCAACCAGGACCAAGGGATGCTATTTCCAGTCGATTGACCCTGGATAAGGAGACCACCTGGCAACAGAGACCACATTTTGAAGGTCCCTTGAGCGGTCGTGTTAGACAGGCTTCACTGTGCTATTGGGCGCCGAAAAACGACCAGGCTAGAACGTCACCAAGCACAGCATACCAATGTATACACAGTGACTCAACTGTGCATAGACTACAATACATGAAAATAAGAACAACTAGGAGACTGCCCCCCCCCCCCCCCCCCCCCGGTCTTCGGCAACAGAGAGTACTATACACCTGAAGAGCAGCACACAGAGCCCCACCTACTTGTAGCAGACACCGTAAACAGTATAATGTGTAATATTCAGGGGGGGGGGGGGGGCTTTTCGGTGTCAGGCACCTGCCACGTTTTCGGTGTTATTTAGAATTCGGTGACCAGAGTTCCCTTCATATACGGTACATACTCTAGTGCCCTTCAGCTGTAGCGGCAATCTAAATTTAGGTGTCTGGTTTCTCTACCGAAATTATCTAACTTTTACTTTCAACAGTTACACCGAACATAATAATGTTATACAGTAGCTTGCATCGGATGTTCCCAGCATAGCCATCTGGTGAATGGATGTTGGAAAGTAGTTCATTGAACATCATCCCAAAGACAAAGCATCCTTCTAGACTCGTGCTCTGCACAGTTTACATCATTAGACATTACGTCATGTACATTCTGGAGCGCACCAGTACAGTACAGTGTGCAGCCACACTTCTGTTTACCCACGTGTTCCATTACTAGTACCCAGATGTGTGCATGTGCTGCGTGTTGTTTTAGCTGAGCAAACAATTTACGTCAATTATAATAAAATCCCGAGACTCACTAACGGAGAAAATTGAAAAACTATTGATAGAAACACAACCAATCCACAACCAACGCGTTAACGGACACCGATTCGCTTTCACAGAAACGTTTCACAGACACGTTTTTTTTCGCCAGAATTCATCAGTGACTACTTCTGGTAGATTAGAAAACCATGAAAATCTTCTCGCACATGTTACGACATTACAGACAACAGGCATTGAACAATACGAATTTAACAGAACAAACGCGTAAGGTGTTCCGACGAAGCTTTACCACGGGATCATGGAGCAACACAGCACGACTTACTGGTTGAGAAACGTCGAGTGACGAGTTTGTCATTGTCACCCAGCGCCAGGCTTCCATGCACGCCGTAGCTCGATTTTCGGCCCCAAGTGCCACTGCCAGGCCATAAAATAACTGGAGATGAGGCAGCCATTGTAGTCTAGACGACTAACAACAAAGGTATATGGCTGAACCAGTTGCTGCGGTATTCCTCATCTTCATATTCCTCGAATCAATTTTCATTCCTTTTTGAATAATGAAAATCTTGGCAGCTCAAGAGTGAAGAAGAGTGAAGAAAACGACGATGCCGGTGTCGTGATCGTGTCACGATCGTGCACGACACGTCACACTGAACTTTTTTTTACACACTATAAACATTTTGTGACATCATCTGCATTATCTTCATTACTCATTAGTGAGTAGTAAAACACCGGTATTTTACTACTCAAGTGAGTGCACTCCAGTCCAGGGAGTACACATAACAAATCGGATTTTTGGCCTGGTGAGCCTCCTATTTTACTCGACTGCGTGCGTTCTGTACAAAAAATGTAGGTCCACCCAACACTGAACAGTCCTGTACGTAGATCTCTGCTAGGCTGGTATGTAGACTGATCTGGCTAGCCTAGCCTGGCAGTGCAGTGTGCATGTGGGAGGAAGCTCAAACTACAGTCAAAGACGACGCGACACTGAACAGCAGAAAGATTTTGTCCAGCGCACCTGCGTCGGTGTCCTGTGCCTGTGGTGCATGAGTTCTTTCTTGTCTGCTCGTTGGATCGAGCTCTGCTGAATCTTGGAACTGGTCAAGGTAGTCTCGTGCTCTCCTGATCTGTGCGTCTATCGCCCTCTGCCAGGTATGGAGAAACGTGCACTTGTTTTCTAGGATATTTGCGCGACGCATAGGGGTTCGGTAGGGTCGAGCAAACCAGCACGGTCGGTGCCTGCGACGTGAAATCGTCAACCATTGCATGGGCTAGTCGCTGAGCTAGCTGTGCGCTAGCTAGGTGGTGTCCAGGAAATTCTAGTTACCGTGTCCCCGATCGCTAGTTGATTCAGGCTAGCGTCGCTGGTTTCAGGAGCTTTGAAGTATTGGTGCTTGGGAATGTGGAGTTACAGTTTGAAATTGTTTTGCAATCTCACCCATCGAGTCTGTACCGCAAGCTAGGAACGTGAAGGTATGTGTCAAAACGTCCATTCTGTCAATCTATCACGAATTCGTCTGTTTGGGCTCCTTGAGTGAAGCAAGGTTGAATACGAAGAGGAGCGGGTTACTGATCTAGGCTATTTTTGCTCCTGGTGAACGAGACGATTCTGGTTTTCCTTTCGCTGTTCGAGTTACATTTTTAGCCTTGCGTCCCCTACTGGCCCTAGCTCGCACCCCTTTCGTTCGAGCGTGGGTGTGAAATCGGTGCGCTGCTGCGTGTTGTGACTGTGTGTTTGTGTGTGTTCGCTCGGTAGCACTCGTGCCTCGGAGTCGTACATCTACTTCCGTAGCTGCAGCTAGTGTAGGTTGTGCATGTGGAGCCCTAGGTTAGCCGGCCTTGGTGTTTAGAGTTTGGGGGGTGCGTGAGGACATCGTCGTTACTAAAAACGCTTCGAAGTAATGCTGTTACTTTGGATGCTTTTTTACTTCTGCAGTGCTAGTGGCAGTAGTGCACTAGTGCCAGTAGTGGCAGGTGTGTACGAATCGCTCGCGTGGCTAGTTTTGTTGACAGGACGTAACGACGTGGATGATGTGCAAGACGCCACCGCACACGGTATTCTAGATCCCAGAAAAATAAAAAAAAACTAACGGGATGCTGTCACGTCTGTCTCAGCGCCTGAACATTAGCGCTAGGTAAAACACTGTAGACCATGGTAGACCTGCCGGGAAAGGTGCGAGAGGCCGATTTTCAATCGGGTCGTTGGTATGAATGATGCGTTCTCTCTGTTCGGTGTTATTATAATTACCGCCGGTGTTGTAAAGTAGAGCTAGAGGTGCACGGAGAAACGGCCGTTTCACATTGCTCAGGAAGGCACGCCGAAACTCTCCGCTTTCGGAACATCCTGCGTACAGTGATGGGGTGCGCCAACTGCCGCCGCTAAGTGCTGCGAATGGATTTGCTTGCTTCCTCGTTGGTAGCTTTATAATACTTGCTGGTTGAACGAAACTGTGCGGCGCAACCCGCCTGATCAGTTGATGGAAATAATACACACAGCTACATACTGAAACATAGCATCAAGGTCTTCACTTGGTTCATTTATGAGTAAGAAGTACAACTGAGGGCGGCACAGCTGTAGTCTTAGAACGGTCTGTGATAGAGTCGAACAAAAATTCCGGACAAGTCACGAGAGCGTGTAAGAAATTATCGGTTGAGTTCTTAAAGGGAAACTGAACGCCAAAAATAAGTATGGCTTATCCGAAGGAGAATTGGGCACTGATTCCGATGAGCTATGTCTCGAGCCGATCAGAGAAGAGGAACCGTGTCAAATTTCATAAATAACACCTTCCATATTTGGAAAATGGGCTTGATGACGTGCGTACTGCTTAGCTGTCACCATGCTGTGCATGCTCAACAGTGTAATTGAATGGAAGAAAACAATTACTTTGGTGTTTTGCAGCTCTATTTCGTTCCCTGACGGTACCCAAATCTAGATGTAGGAATCTGTTGAGCAGGAGAGTGACACATGTCTTCCCGAAGGCTGTCCAGCCTGCAGTGGTGATGAAGAAGACACGAATAACACCCCAAGATCGATTGTAGCGAATTGAAAAACTCATGGTGAATTTGCTTCCACTCCAAGGCAATGTCGAGGTATGAAGGGTGCTTGTGCTGGCTTCCAAAGTGAAGCGGAGATGAACATGGCTTTGCATAGCTGTTGTTCTACGCCAACTTACCTACTCTTGCTGGTACCGTAGTGGTATATTGCAAATTTCGTGGATGAACAATTTGAGTCACTAGTGGCTAGTGAGCAACACTAACAGGTGAGATTTTTCAATTTGACAAAAATTGTTCTTGTTTGAGAACAGACGGTGGCAGTCATTAGACTCAGTAGGTGTCTCTCTGCGGCTTCTTTCCCTTCATCGATAGGGTTGTGCTTGAAGTCGAAATAAATAGAACATGTGGAACAAAAATCTGATCATGTAATTCGAATTTCAATTTCAAAGTATGTGTACATCAAATCACAAAAATTTCAATATGGTGCTGTCCACTGAAAAAGACTGGGGGCTGGCAGCAATGGAAAGGGTAGAAACGAAACCAGTAAAGTAGAGTATAAGGTAGAGGGAGTTGAAAACGGGAGCATTTCAGTTCGAAGTAGTGTCAATAGACAGCATTGTGTTGCATATGTTGTGAATATTGTGCGAATCTAATAATTGGCAGAGGGTAGTGATTAAGCAGAGTATTGTTACAACACGAGGTACTTTGTGAGCAGATAGCAATCAATATCACGACGTGGTTTAGACAGGAACTCATAAATGTCAAGAAATTGATAATCCAAAATTATTATTATTATCCCCTGAGTAGCATAATTATTATGGTGTTCTCCTGTGTTTACATGCAGAGCCTTGACGTTGCTGGACGAGCGACAATATAAATTACATAAACGTGTAGCTCATAATGTGGGATGACTGCCGTATTGCATTGCCAACGCAAACCCATCCTGTGTCAGTGCAGCCATCCAGCAACGTACTCCCCGGACCAGATGCCGCTGCAGCTGAACACCATGCCGATGGAAAGCCAGGAGTTGATGGCGAAGCATTCTGGTCTGCACAGTACAAGGCAAAGAACAATAATATTATGAATTATAACGCATTGTAATCCTTCCCACACATCTTTGTAAAAACAAACAAACAGTGCCATTATCACAACACTTGATCAAGCATCTTGATGGAGGTATTTTCCATTGTGCTGGCCCAGCATCTGCACCAGGAAGACCATGTACACTTACAAGTATCTTGTGTGTGTGTGTGTGTGTGTGTGTGTGTGTGTGTGTGTGTGTGTGTGTTTGTGTATCCGTCTGTGCACACGTGTGTGTGGGGGGGGGGGGGGGCTGGGGGTAGACGCATATGTGTATGGGTAGGAGTGTGTGTGTGTGGGGGGGGGGGGGGTCACACACATGTGTATGGATGTGCGCGTTGCATGCGTGTGTCTGTGGGATGGGGTGGGGGTGCACGCACATGTGTCCATGTGTGCGCGCAATATAGAATGTGTGTATTGTTTCGTTGAACACAGGGAGTCCTCCTGATTCCATAAACTTTGTGATCATTGTGATTTTATGTGCTTTGAAGTTGAAATTCGCAATACATGTACTGATGCTTGATTAGATTTTATGTTCCACATGTTCTATTTATTTAGTTTTACTTCAAGCACTTGTACTATCAAGCACAACCCTACCAATGAAGGGAAAGAAGCAGCAGAGACACCTACTGAGTCAAATGACTGCCACCGTCAGTTCTCAAACAAAAACAATTTTTATAAAATTGAAAAATCTCACCTGTTAGTGGTGCTCACTAGCCACTAGTGACTCGAATTGTTCGTCCACGAAATTTGCAATATACCACTACGGAACCAGCAAGAGTAGGTAAGTTGGCGTAGAGCAACAGCTATGCAAAGCCATGTTCATCTCCGCTGCACTTTGGAAGGCAGTACAAGCACCCTTCATACCTCGACATTGCCTTGGAGTGGAAGCAAATTCACCATGAGTTTTCCAATTCGCTACAATCGATCTTGGGGTGATATTCGTGTTTTCTTCATCACCACTGCAGGCTGGACAGCCTTCGGGAAGACATGTGTCACTCTCCTGCTCAACAGACTCCTACATCTAGATTTGGGTACCGTCAGGGAACGAAATAGAGCTGCAAAACACCAAAGTAATTGTTTTCTTCCATTCAATTACACTGCCGAGCATGCACAGCATGGTGACAGCTAAGCAGTACGCACGTCATCAAGCCCATTTTCCAAATATGGAAGGTGTTATTTATGAAATTTGACACGGTTCCTCTTCTCTGATCGGCTCGAGACATAGCTCATCGGAATCAGTGCCCAATTCTCCTTCGGATAAGCCATACTTATTTTTGGCGTTCAGTTTCCCTTTAATCTTATCTTCTTACACGTATAGTTCTTCTTCTGTTGTCTGCTAACGGCAGCTGAGGGCCTGTGGTCATTCCGACATGAGAATCGGAACGGTTTCTGGGTGTACCTCGTTCAGGTCACAATATGCTACTTGTCCTCTCGACTGAAATCGATTGTGCCCTTTCTGTTACTAATAGCAATACTAGCGCATATCCACACGTGCGCAAACAATTTCTAATAATTATTTGCTCACGTGTAAATAATTGTTGCGAGAGAAGGAAGGATCTTTGCAGTAAACCTATGGCCGGCTATGGCCTGGGGGCACTTGCCAATGAAAAACTATTGTTGGTGCTAGCACAACTACTGAGCTGAGTGCTAGTATTGTACCAGGGTATGTGTATGCTCATGGTCTTTGGTGTTGGTCACGATGTCATTACGACATTAGGCTAAAATTTTGCTTCTTTCATCACCATACTACAGCAGACAGTGGAATGTTGACGATTGGAATGTGTTGGGACTGTGGATTGCTATCCAGTATTGTGTACACATACACGATGTTACAGTCAAGTGGGCCAGTAGTGCTCTTCAGTCTTCAACCCCCTCCCTCTCCCATGGCAAAGAAAACATGCAACTCTGCCCAGTGCAGTACTGAGTCTGTTGGTTGCCAAAGAACTGGGAGGTCAGCCTCCTTGCCTAGACCGTTCTTCTTTTCATGTATTACAGTCTATGCACAGTTGAGTCACCGAGTATAAATTTGGCATGCTGTGCTGCGTGAGGTTCTAGGCTGGCCGTTCTTCAGCGCTCCTGTCTTCGGCGCCCTGCAGTATGCCATACCCACCAAAGATCCAGATAACAACGCTGGACCCGCTAGGAGTAGTGCCATGGGGTGCGGACGAGAGGAGGGCATGGGTTGGTGAGGGCCTAACGTTGAATATCGCCGGCCCGTTTGGAACTGTGAAGTAGAGATAATAAAGTCGCACGCGACACAATGGGCTGCAGGAATAGTGGGAGAGAGTTCAGTGTGTGTAGCATTAAGTTGACAATATATGTATACCATCTCCCTTGGAGTTTATAGCTGCTTGTTATGCGCTGAAAGGCCACCATTGGTGACTTCCGTGCACTTCGCAGAGAGAGCGCATTAGGTAGAAAAAAATACTGTATTCAGTACTGGACTGTCGGCCACCGAAGAACGGAGCGTCGAAGAACAACCAGGCTGGAATTTCACCAAGCATAACATTCCAATGTATAGACGGTGGCTCAACTTTGCATTGACTGTATTTTAAACACACAAATAGTAAGAACGGGGTCTAGGCTAGGAGGTTGACCCCCCCCCCCCCAGTTCTTCGGCGACCGTCAGTACTGTTCTGAAGTACATGTACACCGCGAGGCGCTGGTCCAAACATCGGTCCATGATAGCGGAATGATGTTATCTTGGAAAACATTGGTAGACTGATTGTTGGTCCGGTGCTGTGTTCACTGTTTGTGTGTTGGTATGCAGGATGTTTGGGAGGCGTGGGACGTACGAGATCAATGAGCCCAGGGCGTCCAACAGTGACCGACATCCGTCATCGCAGGCGCTGGCACGGGGTCATGTACGCTGTTCCATCCACCTGCTTGATGACAACATCATCGCCGAGGATTTCCCGGTATGTGGTGTTTTGTCTATTATAGTTTTGCTGATGGAGTGACTGTTGCTGCTGCTGATGCTGATGCTGCTGCTGCTGTTGATGCTGCTGTTGATGCTGCTGCTGCTGCTGTTGCTGCTGCTGCTGTTGATGCTGCTGTTGATGCTGATGCTGCTGCTGTTGCTGCTGCTGCTGCTGCTGCTGCTGTTGCTGCTGCTGGTGGTGCTGCTGGTGCTGTTGCTGTTGCTGATGCTGTTGTTGATGCTGCTGTTGATGCTGTTGTTGATGCTATTGTTGATGCTATTGTTGATGCTATTGTTGTCACTGCTGTTGATGCTGCTGTTGCTGCTGCTGCTGCTGCTGCTGCTGTTGCTGTTGTTGATGCTGTTGTTGATGCTATTGTTGATGCTGCTGTTGTCACTGCTGTTCATGCTGCTGCTATGGGGGTGGTGCTGCTGCTGTGGTAGATATTGCTGTTTCTGGTTGGTTAGGGAAACATCTAGTTAGGGGAGTCACCCTGCTTTGCCTTTGTTTGCGGTGGTGACTGCTTGCTCACTGTATTCCAAAAGAAGGATCCACGATTGGGATTTGAACCCAGCACCCCTGATTTCCGGAACAGTGCCCTACCGATTAGGCTACTGGGATCACACACACACCCGTGGCTCTTTCTTGCTACAATTGCTCCTGGTGCTCCGCCTCACCTGTTCTCCATGTGTTTGGTTTTCTAACTCCTATCCTCTCTTTTCTCGTGCTCGTATCTAGCACAGCCACAGCTGTCTCGTTGTGTACATTCCATCAATTTGTGCGCTGTTTTCTTTATATCTGTCTTCTGTGATCGAAACTCAGAAACGTGTGTCTGGAAAAGTACTTATCGACCTGGTCAACAGCCGGATTGACTTGCAAGAAACAGACTATTTCGGACTGCAGTATGTTGATAGTACCGATCGGTTGGTACGTTCTCCAAGCTTCTTTCTGTGCTACTCTGCCTCCGTGTGTGTGTGTGTATGTGTGTGTGTGTGTGTGTGTGTGTGTGTGTGTGTGTGTGTGTGTGTGTGTGTGTGTGTGTGTGTGTGTGTGTGGTGTGTGTGTGTGGTGTGTGTGGTGTGTGTGTGTGTGTGTGTGTGTGTGTCCCATATGGTGCAGTGGTATGTGCAGTCGATTTCCAATCGAGAAGTTGCGGGTTCAATTATTATTATTATTATTATTATTAGGCCAAAACAAAAAATAGGCTTGTTTCCGGTCGGCAACCCCTCAAAAAGGAGACTCGGTCGGCCGGAATGAAACTTTTTTTGGATACTTTTTTTGGTTCCTGGTATTGATGGACAAGAGCACCTACACATGTACATTGTACATTATATCATGGCAAAGATCAATGTCAAAGTTGACTGACTCACTGTTCTTGTACAGCATGTGGTGTATTCCTGTTTTCGTACATCCTGAGAAATCAAGCAAACAGTTCGAGTCCTTCCAGCTCCGTTATTCTAGCTCGTATCGACCCCGGAGGTTTTCGAGCCGACAACTGAGAATCTCTGCTACCTTGTGGGTGTTTCGATTGTGGAATTCGGTTGAGATTTGACTGAGTTATGACTCGTTGAGTGCACTTGCACACATGGCATTGCCACCGTTTGTAACACATTTGGGACCAAAAGAAGTTTCAGAATTTGGGAAAAAGTGGCCCGGTCGGGCGACCGGAAACAAGGTCATTATTTGTTTTGGCCTTATTATTGTCTCTTTCCCTCAAACCAGTTAATATTATTATTATTAACTTTTATTTTACTAGGGTGTTTCCCGACGATTATGGTCGCACACGTCTTTCTTCTCTTTCTCGGACTCTTCCTGACTTTCCTTTCATTCTCCTGGGCGGTTACCAACAGCCAGTGTATGCCGGAGTATGTGGTGTGGTGTGTGTAGAAAAAAATGGAAAAATGAAAAATAGGGATTCACTGGCCAGAAAAAGTCACTTCAAACAGCTGTGTGGTGGATACCAGGCTAAAAATAGTGGCGGTCAATTCATCAGCCTTGCAAGCTGTTGAATGGTGTAATCCCAGCACAAGTTGCTATGTCTAACATAGCTGTTCGCTATCATCGCTTCCGCGATGGGCATGTCTGAGGTGAGGTGAGGTGTGTGTGTGTGTGTGTGTTGTTATGTCTGACATAGCTGTTGGCTATCATTGCTTCCGCGATGGGCAGGTCTGAGGTGTGTATCCCTATGTATGTGTCTGAACCTGTGTGTCACATACAGAGCATGATCAGGCAGTATACCCCATCCACCCATACCACAGTCTCCTCCACAATTATTTCTCCAATTGTGACCACGACACACTCTTTGTCCTTTGCCGTAGGTCAACAGGCCGTGATGTGTGTGTGTGTGTGTGTGTGCGTGTGTGTGTGTGTGCGTGCGTGCGCGTGTGTGTGTGTGTGTGTGTGTGTGTGTGTGTGTGTGTGTGTGCGCGTGCATGCGTATGTGTGCGTATGTGTGTGTGTGTGTGTGTGTGTGTGTGTGTGTGTGTGTGGTGTGTGTATGTGCATCTGTGTGCATATGCGTGTGTTTGTGTTTTTCAGCAATGGCTGGACCCACTGAAGAGTGTCCGCAAGCAAATCAAAGGTAGGTAAAGCTAAGGTTAGCGGATTTTTGAAATTTTCACGGGTAGGTGGGCAGAGGCTATTGGAGTGTTGACATTTTAAGGGTGGTTAGGCTGGGGCTGTCGGATTGTTGAATTTTCTCTTGGAGCCCAATGAGACGAGTGTGAAAGGCTAAACGTTGGGACATTTTCCTTGGTTTATCGGTTCATGCTACGTTTGCGTGGTTCTGCCTGGTTCTGTGGTTTTGCCTGGTTCTGTGGTTCTGCCTGGTTCTGTGGTTTTGCCTGGTTCTGTGGTTTTGCCTGGTTCTGTGGTTTTGCCTGGTTCTGTGGTTTTGCCTGGTTCTGTGGTTTTGCCTGGTTCTGTGGTTCTGCCTGGTTCTGTGGTTCTAAAACTATTCGCAGTACAGTGCTTTCACTGGAAAGGTTTCCCCGAGTGTGTGTAAAACGGCCGAGTTCTTGTGTTCTCTCAATGCCGAAAGTTAGTTATCTTGTGAAAGGCACCAGATGCAGAGCATGCACCGCATGTGAAAGGAAAACTGCTCGCCTCGTTCTGTATCACACCTGAAACCTGGCAGGCCCCTGACACCGAAATTCCATTCTGTATCACACCTGAAACCTGGCAGGCCCCTGACACCGAAATTCCGTTCTGTATCACACCTGAAACCTGGCAGGCCCCCAGGCTGACACCGAAATTCCGTTCTGTATCACACCTGAAACCTGGCAGGCCCCTGACACCGAAATTCCGTTCTGTATCACACCTGAAACCTGGCAGGCCCCTGACACCGAAATTTTAAAACACCTAAAATGACCTGTTTTACAGTATTCTGCCCTGCATGACTGCATGACTGCATATGCATACATTTTACCCAAACTTGGTTCATGTGTTACCTCTTTTTGGCTCGATTCCACTTCGTTTCCGTTCCATTCCATGTGTTTTGAACTTCTCGTTTCACATATACTGGCACACACAGAGACATAGACAGCAATAGCGACAACACACAAAGTGAAGGGTAGTTGGCCGCAGCAAGATGTGAACCAGATAACGAGTGTGGTATGGAAGCAAGGACTGAGAACAGGGAACAGAGTGTCTAAGATAGAATAGGTGTGCCAGCGGATAGCAGAAATAGGCCATGATGCAGAACCACTTGGGACCGTCAGATTAATTTTCCTGGACCGAGCCAGCCGGGAAAAAAACCCTCGCGCCGACGGACGCAGTAGTGAGGGAAAAAAACGGGTGTATATCCCCAATGGCGATTAGGAATTATGTAGGCATGGCAAGCACGGCACAGCAAAAAGTGATAAAAAAGCGATAATGAGATGCACAGAAATAAAGGGTGGGAGGGCAGGGACACTGGTGAGACTCAAAACTGACTGAAGAAGTCAGGAAAAGAAACGACAATAAAGAACACACCAGATGCCATATTTGCAACTGAAAATGTTTCGCGAGAAATCATTTCTCGCTTATCTCGCTGTGCTCGGCCGGCGAGAAATACAACTACTATTTTCATTACCAGCCGAGCTAGCCCTGGTTCCAATTGCTGACCGCAGCCACCTGCTCGAAATGGAGGAGCCACGCTGGGAAGTTATCTTCCTTGCGACCCTTGTTCTTCTCCGGCTGTACGTTGTAAAGGCCCCTCTGCGGGGCGAGCGCAGGTGCTGGGGCAGCAGCGGCCGGAGCTAAGGCCAGCACGGCAACAGGTTGTGCCATGCTGGTTGTACCCTTTCAGTGTCAGGCTAGATGTAGTAGCGTCAGAGCTCCAATATAGGTCCACTTAGGGCTTGTACACCAGACCACTCAGTAAGTACAGGGCAATACATGCCACTGTCACTGGCACCAGGAATGCAGCCTGGAAAAAGGCCCGGCCGTGGAACGAGCTATGCACTATGCCGCATGCCGGTTCGTTTTGTTGGCGAGCAACTGCCAGAATTCCAGTACAAAGTAAAGGTTCAAAAGCCAGTATGGTGTGGCATCATCTGGTGAATGCACTGTGATTCCAGGCCGTGCAGAGAATTCAGGAATAGTAAGTTTGTCATTCCTTTCCGTCCAAGCTGCATCGTCACGTGCTGCAGGAGACTTGTCTGGTCCTTGTACACAAGGTTGTGCATCAACAAATATTTCCTTATGAGCAGCGTTCGCGTCTGCGTCCTGTGCTGGCGTAGCTTGTGCTGCTGCTGCGCCCTGCTCGACATCGACATATCCACAGTCCTCAGGGCCGTCCAAGGTGACCACGGCAGTAGGTACGACATCGACCACGGCGGACTCATCCGCGAAATTTGTTCCGTCACGATCGCGGACGGCTATGTCCGCATCCGAGACATCGCCTTCACTATCGCAGCTCCAGTCATCACTGTCCGAGTCCATGATGGACTGGAGCGCCTCATGCGTCGTCTCGCCATGTCTGAGTGACAGCTAGAGAGGCCTAAAGTACGTTCCGTCAATCTAATTGTTTCGGAATCGAAATAATGATTTTTGCGTGCTCTGAATGCATGCTCCCGTGAACATACTTGCTCAAACACGGCGAGTGAGGTCTTATTCAGTAAGGAGAAACCCCTAGTTTCCCCTCGAAGAGCCACAATTATTGATCTAGCTAGATCGCAGTGCATGGCCGTTGAGATATAGTAGTGCACACCACGAGGACGAGATATCTCGTCCTTGGCCACTCGCGTGGGGGTCTGTAGGACGAGTTGTCTCGTCCTTGGCATTGGAAGGGGTTAAAGGGGAAGTATACCCTAAAATCAAATTTTCACCAGTTGTAGTCTTCTGGGTGCTGAGTCGAATGGTCTTGGTCCGAGGAAGCTGCGACGCTCCCTTCCTACTTGAATTCCAATCGAACTCGCGCACTTCCACCGAAACTGGGTGACTGCGCCCTGCTAGATGGGGATTTGTATGCAAAATGTCACTAAAAGCGCCATTTCGTTCTTATAAAAGCACGGATGACCGCGATTGGCCCATATGTTGTAGTCTTTTGGACGCTGAGTCGACTGGTTTTGGTCCGAAAAGGCTGCGATGCAGCGTTCCTCCTTTATTCCCAATCGAACATGGTTGAACAAGCGGTCACGTGCTCCTGCGTACACCAGTCAGCTGGTCACCGTGCCTGCAGGGTACAACTTACTAGCCTGTTTGACCTTTTTTGGGTGCAGTCCTGTCACTCGAGTTGAACCCGAGTTGAACCTTGGTGTGAAAGTTGTCGCCTGCTGGCGCGGTGACCAGGTGATTTGGGCACCCAGGAGCACGTGACCGCTTGTTCAACCATGTTCGATTGGGAATAAAGGAGGAACGCTGCATCGCTGCCTTTTCGGACCAAAACCAGTCGACTCAGCGTCCAAAAGACTACAACATATGGGCCAATCGCGGTGATCCGTGCTTTAATAAGAACGAAATGGCGCTTTTAGTGACATTTTGCATACAAATCCCCATTTAGTAGGGCGCAGTCACCCAGTTTCGGTGGAAGTGCGCGAGTTCGATTGGGATTCAAGTAGGAAGAGAGCGTCGCAGCTTCCTCGGACCAAGACCATTCGACTCAGCACCCAGAAGACTACAACTGGTGAAAATTTGATTTTAGGGTATACTTCCCCTTTAACAAGAACTGAGAAAGGGAAATGAAAAAAAGAAGAAAATTTACCGATTGTTGAATTTTCTCTTGGGGCCCATTGAGATGAGTGTGAAAGGCTACACGTTAGGAAAATGTCCTTGGTTTATTGGCGCATGCTATGCTCGCGTGGTTCTGCCGCAAAACAATTTCCAGTGCAGTGTTTCCACTGGAAAGGTTTTCCCGTGTGTGTGTGTGTGTGTGTGTGTGTGTGTGTGTGTGCCGTGTGTATGTGTGTGTTTAAAACGGCTGAGTTCGTATGCTTTCTCGATGCCGAAAGTTAGTCAACATGTGTTGCAAGTGAAGTTGTTCACTTGAAACACAAGATAGGTAACAGTCGATCATTGTAAGGTGTAATGAGAATGTTTGGCCGCATCACCCGTATGTGTCTTGTTTGTTTCCTGCTGGCGGTGCTGTCTTGCAGGGCGCAAAGAAATGGAGTTCTTCTTCCGAGTGAAGTTCTACATCGCCGATCCCAGCAACCTTCAAGAGGAGCTGACAAGGTATTGCGCAGAATAGCTATGTAGGGAATCCCCCCCCCCCCCCCCCCCCCCCAGTGGCTACAGCAGATTCTCGAGGCAAATGACGCTCCGTGATATGAAGAGTACATGACCCCAAGAATGTTCAACTGCCTACGCAACCTCTACGCATTGCTGCGATGGCCAAACTTCACATCACGTGCCATGTTCAATAGGTTGCCCTGGCAAACAGTGCAAAGCGACCACCAAGAGAGTTGAACCCAAAGCAGGCCTGCGTACAACCCTGTATCTATCATGCGTATGGTGCAAATCATGTGTACGCGTTTGTCACGACATACTCTGAAAACCTCCTTTGTGCCTTTGTGTGTATAATAGTGCTCCACAATATTGTGTTGAGACCTCTCCGCTGGCTAAAGGGAACCTATTTGTACATTGTATCTATGTGCGTGGAAATACCGGTGTAGCAAATCTTCGTACATCAACCACTCCAGCCTCACCTTCGGACTATTGCAATGTCTAACAACCAACAGCAATGGTATTGGCCGGGTACTGCTAGTACATGCCCAACCATTGGGGTGGTCTTAGGGGCAGTTTCAGGGGTACCTTTATGTGTGATTTTAGGGGTGCCTTTTCCTCACAGCCAAATCCACGTGAGCTCATGTTGATTCTCGAATATGTTGTGTTCGTGCTCAGGTTTCTCTTCTTTTTGCAAGTCAAACAAGACATTCTTAGAAACAGGTGAGTAGTGTGTGTACTATCCACCAGATTGTTAGCCCTTGTTCTTCTTTACCCCCCCCCCCCCCCCCCATTCCGAACAGCCCCTCTCACTCTCACAGACTTGAATGCATGCACACGCATCACAAGGACACACAGTATGTGTAACGCCCATCCTCTTTCCTTTCTCTCTCTGTCTCTCTTTCTCTCATGATCTCTCTCTTTCTCTCTGTCTCTCTCTCTGTCTCTCTCTGTCTCTCTCTGTCTCTCTCTCTCTCTCTCTCTCTCTCTCTCTCTCTCTCTCTCTCTCTCTCTCTCTCTCTCTCTCTCTCTCTCTCTCTCTCTCTCTCTCTCTCTCTCTCTCTCTCTCTCTCCCCTTTCTCCCTCTTTTCTTGTTCATCAATGTCTATTTCTATTCTTGTGATTACTACAACAGGTTACCAGTTAACTTCAGTACTGCAGCAATCCTCTCGGCATACGCACTACAAGGTATGTTGATACATACGTTGATAGCTTGCACAACCAATCATTGGTAGGAATGCAACCTTGTCTGGATGACCACTGATATTTCTTCACCACAGAACAGTACTGAATGTTCTGAGGCAACATGGTTTGAGTGACTACCGGCATCCACGGTACGTTGTCCGGTCCGAGCAGTGGCCACTGTGCCAGGTTTCACAACCCCCTCCCAGGTTTTGCAACGAAATCCCAGGTTTTACAACGAAATCCCAGGTTTTACAACGAAATCCCAGGTTTTACAACGAAATCCTAGGTTTCACACAGTCATTGTGCTTTCTGCTTTTCACTGCCTGTGTTGCTTTCCTGTGTTTGTTTCTGCATGCAGCCGAAGTGGGTGATTACGATTCAAAGGACCACACACCAGGTTACGTGTCCATCTATCGCTTCGTTCGCAATCAGGTGCGTGCTCTCTGTTTTTTTGTTTTTTTTTTGGTTTTCTTTGATACGATATGTCTGTAGTGGCAACATCAGTAAATGCTCTCACACGTTCCACGTCCTAATGCAGTGCAGCATTGCTAACTAAAGTGTGAAGTCACCTGACAAGAAGAAAGAGAAGGGTACTGTAGAAACGACTCCCTTTTCTGGGCGTATTGGCACTGGAGGATGCCCTCAACTCGCACAATACAAGTCATACTGATTGCATGCAAGTGAACACTTTTAAGTTTTTATGGCAGTCTTTTTTTGCTTCCGTTTATGTTGAAAAGCCCTTTTTATGACTCGAGAGGGTCAGACAGATGCTCGGTAGATGGAAGTGCCCACATCTGGGTGTCCGGATGGGGAGGGGGCGGGGGGGGGGGGGGGGGGGGGGGGGGGGGTGGAGTTGAAGTTTGCAGTGAAACCTATCTGAGTCCACTTTTACTTGCTTTGTTTTCCTGTTGACAGACGGAAGAGCTGGAAGAGCAGATTGAAATGCACCACAAGACGTTAACGTGAGTGTGGCAATCCCATGTCTCGTGTCATGCTGTGCTAAATGCATGTGTGCGTGCGTGCGTGCGCGCGTGTTATGTGTGTTATGTGTGTGTGTATGTGTGTGTGTGTATGTGTGTGTGTGTGTACACTGTATCAAAACTTGAGCTCTTGCTCATTATGACACTGGGTTTGGGCACATACAATTTGTTGCGTGATTTCTCTTCCCGTTTACCTGTGACAGGGCTCTCAGTCTGTGTTTGTTTTGAAATCCCATAGGTTGCCTGCACCACTTCCTTCTCTCTGAGGGAAGTTTGGATATTCCATTTGAAGAATTTGGCCTTCGTGAATAAAGGCGTCGGCGTAGCAACAACTGGCGAGTAACGCCACAATCTTAAGACCTAGTGACCGTTTCCTTGACTGCATACTTTCAACGTCATGAATAACAACATTTCACTAATACACTCAGACCTTGCTTATCCGGTCCTCTTTTATCCGGATCCCTCGCCATCCGGAGGAAAATAGCTGGTTACCGATGTACAGCCTACGTGATGCATCCGACGAAAACCGGTGTTCGGTTATCCGGTTCCCTCGCCTATCCGGATATTTTTTTGTGGAAAACGGATGTGTGCGGTTAAGCGAGGTCTGACTGTAATGATACTTCTCATGCACGATCGATGTTTGTTATTCGCAAGGTTGACTGTGCTATACTCCTTCAAAAATTTAATGTGGCTCGTTGTGTGTGTGTCCCGTTATTCTTTTTCTACTTGTGTCCATAACGGCATCAGTGGCATGCTACCAGCGGATTGTGAATTCCATTTCTTGGAGAGGTCGCAGCGTCTTGAGCTTTACGGCGTTGATCTGCACTTCGCTCAGGTAGGCACACCACTACTACTAGGTGATGGCCATACCTTTAGGTCACTACTACTAGGTGATGGCCATACCTTTAGGTCACTACTACTAGGTGATGACCATACCTTTAGGTGTTTGGGACGGCATTCTTATGCAAGAATGCCCTGATTGTCTTTTCAATTGATATGCTACTGTTATTTTTAAACTCGGATGTTGAGCCAATTAAATTATGGTGAAAAAGGAGGACAAAATGTTACGAGTTACGACTAACTGTCCACCAACGTAACCAGATCTTATACAGTCAGCAAGTGCGACAAAATGGCACAAAACTGACAAGGAGTACTGTACAAGATCTAGTTACGTTGGTGGACAGTTACTGTAGGGGTGAAACAATTATACCGAGTACTCGAGTACTCGCTCGGTTTTTTCAAAAATAATCGTACTCGGAATAAATCAGAGTACTCGTTCATACATGGTACATGCATTTAGTACAGAAATCTGCAGTTTCAGGGCAGCAGTCGGCAGATGGTGATGTGCAGGCTGTGTGGTGAACATTTGTTCACGAGTAGAGAGAGCCCAAATGACCCACCAACCAATATACCCGAGAAAAATGACTGCTACTCGGTTCAATCAGGGTTGTATCATGTTATTTTAAAGCCCTTGGTGTGCAATTTTTAGGAGATGAAAAATACTCGAATACTCGAATATTCGATCGGAGAAAATCAGAGTACTCGAACTCGCGATCTCAGTGCCAACTTTCACCCCTAACAGTTAGTCATAACTCGTAACATTTTGTCCTCCTTTTTAACTGTTATTTTATAGGGATTTAGGTTGGCTTTCTCAGGAATGTACCGGCACTCTTTTCAATCAGTGCCACCATTTTAGTAACCTACTGATGAAGATTTTTCCAATACGTTGAGTGACTGAAATGAACTGGAGATACTTGCAGAATCTGTGTTTGTATGTGTGTGTGTGGGGGGGGGGGGGGCGGAGGGCGGGGGGGGGGTAGGAGATAAGGTGGCCAACTCTAGCTGTCTCTCTATTCAAATGAAGCTGCAGCAACTCTCAATGTTACTGATAGGCCTGCGGCTGGGCTAATGTTGCGTTATCTGCTTGGAAAGTTGCTGTGTGTGTGGTTTGACTGGTGTGATATTCTATACAATGTAGACGTGTTTTTTTTATGTTGCTTTGTTGTCTTGCACAGGATGCGGAAGGTGAAGAGTTGATGTTAGGCGTGACGCACAGCGGTGTTGCAGTGTTCCAGAACAAAAACAAGATCAACTCATTCCACTGGTGAGTGCTTGGTACCTACCTACTTGCCTGCCTGGCGCTGCGGGGCATATGTATGAAGGGGAATTTAAAAAATCACTGGTAAACATGGAGAGTGTTGAGAGGATGCAGTGTGGGTATAATGGATGGCTACGAGTGCAGTGGGGTCTGTGCATACTGGAAAAGTTCTAACAAACACAGCAATGCTTTTACTCAGGAAAAGAGGACAAGAAAAGTGACAATGTACAGCAAGACAAAGGGGGATGCATGAATCATGTGCCTTCAAGCTCGATCTGTGTGCATGCGAGGGTGCGCACATGAGTTTGTAACTGTTAAAATCGTAAATGCATGCAAGATGAATTTATTCACATTAGTCATCTACAGTCAACTTCATGTATAACTACCTCAGGTTTTACAACTGTTAACATCCCACTGCACACACATTACGTTCAAGACAAGGCTTGGGGCTAGACTAGAACTCACGCTGGGAGAAAGGGGTTAGGCTTACACCCAGGCCACTACATAGTTGGACGAACGTGGAGGAGGCCGCTAGTAAGGTTAGGCTTATACCGCACTTGCACATGCTAGGGCAGATATGGAAGTAGGCCGCTAACGAGGTTACTGCTACTCGAGTTTCCCCGACTTCTTGGGGACAACACCCACACCAGAGCAGCGCAGGTCTGGATCAGGAAAGTGAGTGGACGTACCAGCTATACAACCTTCGATGCATTCATTAGACACGTAATTAGAGATGGCTTGGGGAGTTCTGAAATGCAGAGACTAAATTGGGAGCAACAAAATGAGAGCGATCACCAGAGTGACCGATCACAGCACCATGACGCATGTCATGCATAAGTGAGTTAACGAATACGCGGTCAGGGTGCCAGACCAGAGCCGACTCAAGCCGATCCAAGTAAACGTGCATCCAGGGCGACTGTTGGTGTAACGGAATGCCTGCTGGTTGGTTGCGCTGTGCGACAATCTCGTGCGCTGTGTCCGGAGACGTTGCAGGTGCTGCATTGGTGAATGTAAGGACAGGGGTTTCGGCGACACATGCTCCGGTTGAAGAGTCGACACTGCTCGGTTTACGAGCGTGCGGCACCAGGGGCCGCCACGGAGCATGGCCGAAAGGGCCGCACGGCACGGGCATCGAGCGCAGTAGTGTACAGTGTCTGTGGTGTTGTGTCCCATCGACGTGACGGCTGGGACGCGATGCTGTGGCGGAAGGCACGGTCGTACTCCACAACTGCTGAAAACGTGAATTTCTTGCTGGCGTTCAGAATATGGTACTGATACGTCAACAGTTGTGGTGCTCTGCCCGGATGCACATCTAGATAAATGGCTACAAATATGGTCCATGCTTCAAGGGCAATTTTTGATGTCCGAAATGCGTTGGGACATCCGAGGCTGGGCCGAGGACAGCGTGAATTTACCGGATGCCTCCTCGCCCAACACCAGAGCGTGGGGGCTTGGCACGTCTGTTGAGGTCGCCGGTAACAGTTACTGCAAGTCTCCACAAATTGATGTGTGACGACTTTATCGATCACGCTCTGAGATACACTTGTCCAAATTTTTACTTGCCCGTCATGCAGGAGATACTGGGCGAAGGTAAAAGTGGACGTACCTGTTGTTTTTTTGTTTTTTCCAGGCGGTCCAGCCTGTCTGCGAATGGTTTGAGGGCAACCACGATTGCCGCAGACACGGAAGGGACAGGCATAGTAGGTTCGCGGATTTCCCTGTCCTCGACAGTTTATTGAGCAGCCTCGATACGGGTCTCAGGGGACTCGTGGGATCTAGGACTCCATCAACCAGGAAAGCAGCTCCTCTTGCCTGCCGGCGGGGCTTGGTCCCCTTTCCACAAGTTTGGCACGCAGGTCCCGCACGGAGAATGCACTGAATGCAGGGGAGGCCATAGTATGGAATGGAAACGTTGGAAGTATAGAAAACCACAAGAAATTTGTTAGAGAGGTAGTCTTTGATCAAACAGCAAATGAGAGTGTTTAACAGCAGAAGAACAACAAACATGAGTGCATGCGCACATTGGATCAGATGTGCTGATGTGTGCAGCTGACAAGAGAGCTAGAGGCGGCATGCTTCCACGTGGTGGTGGTGCGAACTGTGCACGGGCGCAGCAGCGTGGGCAGCTCAGTGACAGTGCTACGAGTAGATGTGGAGTGCAGTGTGTAGTACGACAGTGCTGCAGGTAAACGTGGAGTGCCATGTGCAGTAAACGCAGGCTGACAGGAACTGAGAGAGTATTACGTGCGTGTTAACTACGGTTACTACTACTACACATCAGCTGAGATATACCGTATTTCCGGAGCATAAGCTGCACTTTGAACACTCAAAACCCTAAAGAGTGGCGTGCGGCTTATACTCCGATGATCAAATTGACGGTGATAAAATTAACAGGATAGATGTCTGTAAATGCCGACACAATCTTCGGATCTAGTGACCATTCGACTACATACTTTCCTTCTGGTGAATGTCGGCAATTCACCGATATTTTTTCTCTTGCGTCATCGATGGCGGTTTTCCGCAAGTTTGACTACATTTGTATGACAGTGTGTGTTTTCTGGCTATGTTGAATGCTCTGTACAGGGCGATGATGCGCAAGATTGGCTTCAAGAAGCACAAGTTCTTCTTGTACATCCGAGGTTCTCAGGTAATGTGCCCGCACTCACTAAACTTATGTTGTATACAACCTTTGCTGATGGGTGATATCAATATACATCATGCTGTACTCCATATGTGGAGTAAGGTACTTGGAAGTATGATTTTATAACCCAGCATTTTACCTTCCCGGCCGCCTTTCCTCAATTTCCGTCTTCAGCTTGAAGCTGGCTTCAGCACCAGTGTTGTTTCATTACAGTGACTTGGATCGTGTCCACTGTGATGCGGTCTTTCATTACAGTGAACTGTGATCCGGTAATGTTGGATTGGTAGAATCATTATAATTGGCAATGTGATCGTATCATTCTTCTCGCAGGGTCACCCATCGCAATCAGGTGAAGTGCCGACGGAACAGCCACCGGTGGTCGGATTCATTCTGCCGGACTATCGGTCGTGCAAGGCACTGTGGAAGACGTGTGTTGCGCACCACACCTTCTTTAGGTGAGCTCAACAAGACTGGCTATGTTGCCAGAGTATACTATAACACGTGATTTTTTGGTGTAGCTTCAACTTCGGTAATTTCGGTCGAGAAACCAGCCACCTACATTTAGATCACACCCGAGTGGTACTGGAGTATGCACTGTATGTGAAGGGCATGCCGGTCACCTAATTCTACATTACACCTGAAACCTGGCAGGTGCCAGACACCTACATTTTTATACACTTAAAGTTGTACGTTGTACAGTAGAACCTGTGAAGACGACCGCTCTGATAAGGCAACCTCCTGCCGCAGAAAACCACTACAACTAGGACCAAAGAATGCATTGCCAGTCAAATGACCCTGGATATGGCGACCACCTGTACACGGGGACAACGTCTGTAAAGTACCTTGAGCAATAACCCTAGACAGGTTGCACTATACAGTTGAACATCGATTATCCGACCACCTCTGGGCAGACAACTGTCAGGCGGTGTTCAGATAAGGCAAATGTTCTGGATAAGAAACATGTACATGTACATGTACGACCTTTTTACTTTTCAAAATTTTCGTATTTTTTGAATGGCTCACTACATGCACAGTGCGTACTCTACGGCACGTGCACCCAAAAAAACTGTTACGGATAATCGAATGGTCGGATAGTCGATGTGCGGATAATCGATGTTCAACTGTAGTACCGCATTGCATGCGCAAGATGTTCTATTGGCTGGCTTGCATCACCAATACTGTACAAGCAGAACTATTTGTCTGGAATTTAATTTCGTCTTTTTCGTCCAAGGGACTTTTGGACCAAATTAATGCCGGACTAATGTCGATTTGTCCAGCTTTTCAATACACTCTTATGATCATGGACGAAATTTACAACCGGACGAACTCCCTTTCTTTGGAGTTGGACGAAATTATTGACCGACGAAATTTGTGGTTTTCTATGGTTGCTATGTTCTCAGGCAGCGTCAGCCATCCCAGCCGCCCAAACTGAATGGTCTGCTGCGTTTCGGGTCAAAGTATCGCTACAGGTGAGTTGAGTTGATCCTGTGCATGCTCAGTCTGGGGAAGGAGGGCATTCTGTGCGTCCAGGTGCTAAGGAAGGTTAATGTGGAACTCTGCTAAAACATACCTCCATGGGGAACAGGAAAACGTTCCCAGGATCCAATGTACTTCATTAGCCAAACAAGCAGTCGTGGCCAAAGAAATCCGGTGCATATGCAGAAAGTAGGGTCAGGGCTCATGTCATGGGCCCCACACGGCCCTCGGATGGGTTTTTGGACCTCGCATCACGTAACTAAGATGGAAGCATGGGGCTACTTTTGACTTGCGGCTCGGATCTCTCTGGCCACGGCTGTAATTCAATATCGAGCACAGCGCACGATCCCCGGACAATGTCTATACTTGGCAACTGTATGTCCTATTGCTAATCAGAGTACGAGTACGTACTGGGTGACCTTACCGTAAGAGTTAGACCATGTTCGAATTTCTGTGTATCAGCAGGGTTTCACCAGTCACCTTTATCTAGCTTGGTCGTGACCGTGTCTATAATGGGGGGGGGGGGGGGGGTGCAATATTGCCATGCCAACACAGGTCAGGAGCTTCCCTAGACTAATGAAATCACTACTGCTTTCCTAAACACTGTATGCTCCGGAGTATAAGCCGCATTTTGAACACTCAAAATTCACCCAAAAAGAGGGGGTGCGGCTTATACTCCGATGATCAAATCAACGGTGATACAAAATTAATAGGATAGATGCTATGAATAAAATAATATTAGGCACTTCAGGCGGTTTTTTCAAAACCAGAAATACTCGTATTTCTTTCTTGTATCCGATTCAGATAGGTTTAGGAAGACTCCACAGAAAATTTGAAGCAAAAAGAATAACTTGGCACAGAGATATAGCCATCCAAAGTCGGAGAATTGAATAACGGCAATTTCAGTATTTCGACGGCACCAGCAGCATATCAGAAATTGGTAGGACTTGCTTCAGTGTCTATAGTGGCAAAATACCAGGCTCGCTGGAAGCAGGTCAAAATAACCAGATGAATGCAGAAACAGCATGGTTTGGAAAAACTTCGCATTTTTCATCCGTCCGGCAGCTCAGACGAAGATATCGGGTGTGGTCACCATGGCAACTCCATAGCAACTCCATCGCAACAGCATGAAAACAGTGCAGAGAAGCCTTTGGAAAAGCATAAGATGAGACTTCGAGGTAAGATAAAGTAACTACAATAATTCAGTGCCAGAACACATTGTTGCTACATGTACAGTACTGACGTGGTGACGAATACGGAGGAACAATGAGCCGAAGACTGAGCAAACTAGAATTTTACCGCGTATTTGACGGAAAGAAATGACAAACTATTACATGTAGAACATCGTTTGCAAATGTTTGGGACTACTGAAACTTCAGCAACTCCAGCATGAGAGATTTTGTGCATAGAGTGTGTGCTGGATTCTTGGTATAATATCACCGTCAATGCTTTTCTTGGTCGCTGGAAGCCACCTGCTGATCAGCTGACGATTTGTTCCAAGCAGGCCGTTTTGATGTCAGCTCTCTTGGTCCAGTCGCTGAAGTATATACTGTCCTACTCGTCGCCTGCAGGAGAGGACGACTGCTCCGATGCGACTCCAATATAACACCTGGCAATATTTCTTCTTGCGCAGCCATGCGCATGGGCTCCGACGAACAAGGACTACTGCCGGGAGGACGCCTGTCGCGGCTCGCTTTCAATAACACCTCGCATTATTTCTTCTTGCGCAGCAATGCGCAAAGTGTTGGACAAACGAGGACAACTGATTCCGAAAGGAAATACGGCGCTGAAGACGATGAGCTACATGGCAAATGCGTGCAATCAAGTGAAATGCCCGAAAAATCCTTGCCGATTTTACTCGAACTGTACGTGAGTTCAAAAAATTGCCGCATCATGACGTATGTGGGCTCAAACGAAAGCTGAGGGCCTCAGCTACACGCTGCGCCACACGAGAAGGCCCTGCGCAGCTTCCGTGCAGCTACAGATCGATCTATGCATGCCCCTTTCCGTGGTGCCACGCATGTACGCGATTCAGCGTTAGCACTTTTTGACAGGTCGTGTCACGTGACTGAAGTGCCTAATAATATGCGCACTCATACTTCGAACATACAAGGCAAGTGCATGTAGGCATGTCTAAAGGTTTTCTACTTGCCTTGTGTGTGTGTGAAGTAACATCTTCATCCTCGGCGGTTGCTCATGCCGTGTTCCACTTCTCCCCGAAGCTGTCCACGATTTTGTTTAATTCCTCCTCCGGTATGTCGACGCACTCATCATCACCTTCCCGCATCGCTGTCTTCGTCGCACCGGTTCTTTCCAGTGCACTCACTGGACAGACTCAACAATGGTGAGACGCTCACAACAGATTTAATCAGCAGAGCACCGCGTGTCAGAGCGGAGAGAAGTAGGAAGAAAGGTCAAAACTAGGTACATGTGTGGGCAGAAGAATGGGAAAGGCGAACAGCTGTAACATTCCGGCAAAAGGAATGGCATTTAGTTGTGTGCAACAGAAGGAGCTGTAGGCAACGAGCGTGCAAGAATACCAGGAAGACAACTGTTGAGAATGGCATTTGGCTGTATGTAAAGTAAAGTAAAGTAAAGTTTGTACAGATGAGATAAAGGAGTGCAACGGATTCGTAGACAACAGCTGTTATGTGAAAGGCGGTGGAAAGTGAAGTGCCTCAAAAGGTCTGCTGGTATTTCTAAGGTCAACCTAGTGTGTGGGAACATAACTACAGCACGAAGGTGCGGCCGGTGTTACAAGTCATGTCCATGTCATATGTGTACTAGGTGACCAAGTGATCAGGAGACTCTCTCTCTCTCTCTCATTAACAAGTAACAACGTTATTGAACTTTCTCCGGGACACACCTCAGAGGTCTAGCCAGGATTTTATGCCAGCCGGCCAACGTTCTAGTGAAAATGCATCGTTCTGGGGGCTGCGCCCCCAGACCCCCGCCATCGGTAACATATCCACACAGACACACACACACACCACTGCAAATCTTTCATTGCAGCTTGCATCTCCTTTCGCTTCGTCCAATTATGGACATTCATCAGGCAGTTGTGACAATGTGATTCAAATGTAAATTAACAAAATATGAAAAAGGAAGCAAACAGCTACATAAGCATGGATCATGTGTTCACCAACGCCATGCCTGCAGTGTACATTGGTCATCTGACTTGCACAACAAAGAAAGGCAGTAAACATTGGTGCAAAATGGGTCATCAGTGACTGAGATTAAAGTGATAAATGCAACACATTACGGTGAAGAAAACGTATTCCAACGTTATGTAGTAACATAATGAGAGTGAGACAGTAGCTGAGCTAGAAGCTAAGCGGCCTATTGCACATGTATCACATTTACTTCCTCCTGAACATGTCCGTCAAGCACACTTGTTTCATGCGTTGCTGGGCACCAGGATGAGATGTCGGTAGGCGTAGCTGGCCCTCTCTCTCATCTTCAGAGTCACTCTCGTGACCACGCTTCTCTGCCTGTGCTGCATGCACATCGTCGTCGTCGCCACTGTCGTCGTCGACGCCGTCACCGCTGTCGTCGTCATCGCTGATGCTAATGCCGTCATGGCCAGCGCTGTCATCGTCGTCGACTTCGTCATCATCGCCACCACCACCACCATCATCCACAGCAACTGCCTGCGCATCAGGAATAGCTGCCGCGTCCTGCTGCTGAGGGACGATTGCCCTGGCTGGGCGTGACATGCTGCCTTTCGGGAGACTTCGCCGCAGCTTGCCATGCCACAGCTGTAGAGACTCCATGAATGGAAACGTGGCAATCGGTGGACCATCAAGGGAAACAGCCATCAGCCAATTCAGAGTGGAATCCTTCAGGCTACTTCGCAAGGCACTCTTGATCAGCTTCATTCGACTGAAATCTCTCTCACTGCCGGCGGTGGTGATAGGGATGGCGAGGGCCCACTGCAGGATCAGGCGAATGTTGGGCGTGTCGTGGTGTCGAAGCTCATTCTGTCGTTGGCACAGAACGGACACAATGTCCTGTATGGTTGCACAGGCCTGCAGGCAGGGAACTGTTCTGATGCAGGACTTCAGGCGCCTCCACTCCTCGATGACAACTTCACTGCCAATGATTGGCTGGACAATCTCTGCCTGGCCATCCTCCAGGACCGGCTCAAGAACATGCTCTTGATCGAGGACAGCTACGATTCTGTCGAGCTCCTCGTTGCCATGGGCCCCTACGTCATCTTCATCCAGATCGGAGATGGTGGCTGGCGAGAATGCTCGCAGAGCATCAAGCAAAGGCATCTGGGGGTAACGAGACTCGAGGCTGGTGACCAAAGCCGTCAGGTAAGGCTGTCGGACGTTCCTGCCGAAGGAGTCAACGTTGTTCTGTACGAAAGACACATTGGCAGCTTGGCCTGGAGTCGAGCTCAGCAAGTGAATAAAACTGAGCAAGATGATAGAGCAAGACAAGAGCATGTATTCCTATCCTAACATAGCCCTCCCCTTTGCGGACCGTGCGGCATGCCAGAGCAGAGCCTTGGTCTGCTCTGGCACGTATATCGCATCCACGCTTCTTGTCATTCTCGTTGGGAGAATTGGGAGAAAGGCAAGAGAATGGCTCTCTTCATCGCACCAGTTCTTTCCAGTGCACTCACGAGACAGACTCCCAGGGTACATTTGTACGTTCGTGTTTCCCGCCACCACGAGACAGTTGAAATGAAGATCACGTTCTCTTGTGCGGAGTTGAGTTGAAACTCCTCCGCCGGTAGCAAGGGCTGTGGTCTTGACATATATATCGCATCCGCACTTCTTGCTGTTCTCGTTGGGAGTGCTCAACGTCGTGGGGAAGACGTTTGTGGTTATCTTGGTCACCGGTTCTGAAGCTGCCGCACACCTCAACAATGGTGAGACGCATACAACTGATTCAATCACTTCCGATAGCTTCACAGGCAGCTTAATGGTCACTTGACCATACTTGCCCTTCCTTGCAATTCCTTCTTTTAGGAATGCAGACACAGCAGTTTCAGGATGGTGGAAAACTGCGTCGGGCGCAAGGTCAGGAGGTCCTACCTTATGCCTCGCTTGCAATCCTCTTTCAACACCGTCAGTCACAAAGGCTGATAGGAAAGTTGACGAAAACATGATTGCAGTAGATTACACTTACAAGAGGAGAAGAGTAAGTGTTGGAGAGAAAACGATGAAGTGATACCGAGTCGAGGAAAGGGAGGGCGTTTTTGGTAGCAAGAAAACACGTTCTGCTTGTGTGTGTGTGTGTGTGTGTGTGTATGCGTGTGTGTGTGTGTGTGCATGCGTGCGTGCGTGTGTGTGTGCATGCGTGCGTGCGTGTGTGTGTGTGTGTGAGTGTGTGGTGTGTGTGTATGTGTGTGTGTGCACTCAGTGGGCGCACTCTGAACATGACGGTGGAGCATGGCAAGGAGACGGT